AGATAATGTTTAATTAATTATTGCTTTTATTCATTGTAGGCCAACAATTATTTTTAACTAGTTATCAATCCATTCTTCCATGGAGTTGAAAAATTATGCTGGTGTTGTGTCACCTTAATAAATAAAAGGCAAATAAACGTCCTTTATTTTGCATCTGAAGGATCTCTATGTAATAAAAAGATGGCAATATATTTAGTTTAGCTAAAGTTAAATTTTCATTTGAACAATTTCTTTGCTACTTACAAGAAGTGGGTGTTTTGTGTTTAACTCTGTAATTCAAACTAAACATAGGATCTGTAATTTGCCTTGAGATGTTTTACGATTTAGATCAAAAGATCAAGATTAGCTCCTAAATTAATTCTGTAATCCAAACTACACATAGCTTGCCTGAGATGATTTAGGATTTTGATCACAAGGCGGAGAATAGCTCCTAAATTTTAAAGAATTAAACATAAAAACCCAATTAATTGTACTTGACAAATTCGAAGTATGAATGGATAGATTAGGTCTGTTCTCGGTTCTAGGATTAGAGTGGAGTACTCCATGGACATAGTGAGGCGGGGTGACCGCACTTTCGGCAGGTCCAGCCGACACAGCTCCTCTTGGTATGACAAGTAAGTGGACATTGCTTGTTGTTGTAGAGTGTCTGTAGAGAAGGCGCGAGGTATGCCGCGGGGGAGTGATGCCTATCAAGGCTCGGGCCATGGCCGCAGTTTGGCGCCTCTCCCGCGCCGGCCATCTAGTGTGTGCGACAGGTACACGTATACATCCCAAGTGTCGCTGTTGCTCATCAACCTAACAAACATCCTCCTTCATTTAACGTTTGAGATTATTTTAATAATTTTGATGACATTATTTTGTTAAGATTAGGCCTATTGTAAATTAAAAATTACATGTTAATTTAAATATTGTCATGTGACAATGAATTTTTTCCAAATTATTAGATAAAGGCCTACCTTAAGTTAATCAAAGGTATTTGCAAACGGGTCACCAGAATGATCACCCCCCAGGCAAAACGTGACGTCACGAAACCAGACAACCAACTGGTATAAAATCTATGTCCGCAACCGGTATCGTACCCTCCAAGGGGCTTGACATGTAATTTATCAAATTCTAGTTGATACAAACTAATTATGTTATTAATTTTAATTCAAACAAGTAGAAACCCCCGGCAAGGCATCCCCTATGTACTCACTAGAATCGTCTCCCCCTGAAACACTACCCCTAGTAGGGCTGGGCTGATCAGCAGCCTACCTGCTACTTGTCCTCCCCAGCCCATTGTTCTGTTGTTACACCCTATGGTAATTATTTAGCAAAACATGTGTTAAAAATAGAATAATTTCTAAATGTATCAAAAATAAATCACATTGCTTTAGGTTTGGCCCCGATTTAATTAACAATCAGAAAATTAGAAACAGATTATTAAATAAAAGTAAACATATTAATCTCTTTTAGGGGATTAATCCCTTAAATTTAACAAAATAATTAATTGTTAGTTATTACAAATATGTAAACGATACTACAGTAGAGTCCCGATAATCCGAACTTCGGTAATCCAAAAGTCCGCTTAATCCGAAAACTTGTTTTTTTGTGTTTTTTTTTTTTTTTTTAACAAAAATGGATATTTTAAAGTAAAAAACTGTGAATAAGTGAATAACAGCTATGCTTTATTTATAGAAAAAAACCGTGAATAATAGAATTGCAGTACAGCATGTACAGTACAAAAATTACACAGTACAGTAGCTTCTTTTAAAATCCACAGTACAGTAAAGACAGTGTTTGAAATTTACATACAGTGTTGTACTGTGAATTTCATAAGTTGGTTTAAAAAAGTCTGTTACAATTTTTTACGAAGATTGAAGGATATCTCTCTTTAGAAGCATAATGACGCCAACGCCTTAGAAATAATGTATCCGCTGGGGTCGAGACGGACTGTTGTTCAACGTAGCGTAGCGCTAGATCGAAGGCAGCCACCGCGTCCGAGTGGGATACTCTCTGCTCGCTGTTGTCGTCAGCTTCGCCTTCACTCTCGTATTAGCTGTTTTCTGGTTCCTTCCAAACCTTTTCAACGATCTGCTGATCGCTTAAAATTTCATCATTGTCGTCAGCTTGTAGCCACTCATGCACGTCATTTGCATTAGTGTCCTCACAACCAGGAATGTTTTGTAACAGCTCCTGCAGACCTGCACCTGCACAACATTGTTTCTCTCTTCATGTTGATTCAAGTTGTCCTGTAAAGTTAGGCTTGGCCACAGAAGATTTTTTCAACAGTTGTTCACTTGTAGATTCTCATGCTTCTGCTACCCAATAAATGACGTCTTTAATGTTTACCATCTTGAGCTTTTGAAGCAATGAGAGCGTTTCATCCTGATCTTCCAGTATTCTTCTCAACAACTTTTTCCTATATGAGAGCTTCACATGCTGTAGTACATGTTGATCCATTGGCTGGATCAAAGGGGTCACATTCGGTGGTAGAAACACGGCCCTTATATCTCCACTTATCAATTCGTCCTCTGACGGGTGAGAAGTTGCATTGTCGAGAAAAAGTAATGCTCGAACCGGTAAGCCATTTTCATTACAAAATCGAGTGACTTCGGGAACAGTGGTCGTTAAACCATACCTTATATAGTGCTGAGGTCATCCAAGCATTTTTTGAGTTTTTGTAGACAACAGGCAATGCATTTATATTTAGGTTTTTAAATGCCCTTGGTTTTGCTGCTTTGCCGATAACCATTAAAGGGAGTTTATGAATTCTTGCAGCATTACTACAGGCCAAAACTGTCAATCTTTCCTTGCTTATTTTCAAACCAGGTGCACTTATTTCTTCCTTAGAAGCCAAACTTTTTTAGGCAATGCCTTAAAATTAAGCCCAGTTTCATCAGCATTGTAAATTTGCTGCGGTGAATAGTTTCCTTCAGCAATTAGGTCAGCTGCAATTAGGTATCTGAAACGTATTCGGTTGCAGCAGCCTCATTGGACGATAGACGTTCACCCTTAATGGCTAATTGTCGTATGCCGTGACGCTTCTTAAAACGATCAAGCCAGCCTGTGCTAGCAGAAAAAGACGTATCTCCGTTCAATAATTCATTTAATTGTAGAGCTTTTTCTTTGATCAAGGGTCCACTAATCGGGGTACCTTTTTCTCTCTCTTGAGAAAACCAAGTAAGCAAAGCACTGTCGAAGTTCTCCTGTGGTGTGGTTTTCCCTGTATGGCGGGATTTAGTACACTTACTTGTGGAAGCAATACAAAACTGTTCTATTTTTAACCGGTTTTTCTTCCAGTCGGTGATCATAGCATTCCCCACTCCAAACTCAACAGGCAATTTTGACACACTTTCACCATTGTCTAATCGTTTTAACACTTCAAGTTTGTCTTGTAATGTAACCAAAGTATGTTTACGTTTTGAAGCCAGTTTTTCTAAACTCTTTTTACGGGAAAGAGTCCTTAACCAATATCAAATCAGGAATATTCTCAATGCATTTATTTTACCATAAAATCCAGATAATTTTTTTTATGTATATTATATACACCATTTATTGCTCAATGTTTACAATTTAAGAATGAGGAAATGTGAAATATGTTTGTCAAGTGTATACTGTATTATGATGTTGCGTAGTTTAAGCATACTCATATTATTACGAGTTGATTCCTTACTTCATTAGTACTATTACTATAAACATTTGATTTCATTTCCACGTGTTTCAAATACATTTTATCCGTTGACGGAAAAAAACGATATACAACATCATTTGATGTATAAAATTAACTAAAACATCAATTGCAATTTGAAAATCTGGTAATTGTATATGATAAGTGAATATAATTATCTAATTAATACGCAAACTCAAAAATAACTCAACTGAAATTGAGTGTCCGCGGCTGGAAACATCACCCCCAGGTCTCTGACGTCAGTATGACGTAGGGGGAGATGTTACCTAGGACGCCTTTCTGCGTCCCCTTTGCAAACCGATCAATTGTAATTATAAATTTTTAATTCTTTCATTTTTGTTTAATTTGTTGCCTTTTAAGTATTGTTGAATAAATTTTGATGCTTATTAGGTTTTTCAGCGACACAGTTTTTTTATTGGTTAGTAGAAAATTTGAATAGTTCAAATTTACAAATTTCTATTAAGTCAAGTAATTCAAATGGCAAAATCATATAGTTCATATTCCTTAATTCATTTCTTGAAAATGTGAATGGATTAGTAGGCTATACAATATAGAACAGTTCTTAAAAATTCTTTTATAGACCTAAGTATTTTAACTTCTAAATTACTGCAATATATTTAGGGTCTTATTATAAGAAGTGAAACCTTCACTTACAGCTACTAACAATCAGTGGTTGGGTATTATCACCTGAGCATGTTATGTTACTATGAGGGTCATATTTATTTATTTGAGGGATTTATTTTTAAGTAAGGGCCATTTGTTTTTATTTCTTCTTAGTTTCCTTGTATGCTCCAACAAGGCTCATCACTGACTATACTGGCATCATTTGTGAACAGAGCAGAGCCATTTGCAGCTCTTTGGCTAATGCCTAATTCACTTTGTTGTGTGTTAAGAAAATTTTTTAAATTGCCGCATGCACAAGATAAAGTCAGTGATGTTTTTTTTTTTTTACTACAAGAAACATAATCCGAATCCAGTACCAAAATGCATCGGCTGAGGTTAATGCAATATGTAATTGGGGTAAAGTGCGGAAATAGGTTATGAAGTGTAAAAATTTCCGTTAAAATCTTATTTACCTTTTGGTATTTTGCAAGATGTTTAAGTAGCGATTTAACTGAACTTAACCCTCACTCATTGCATATAGGCCCATAAACTTCAGAAATCTAGTGATGAATATCTATAGCCAGTAAAAATCATATCACTGACCTCATATCACATGCGGCAGTAGATTCAATTGTTTAAAAAATGTTCTATGCCCTTTACCACAATGCCATCAGACAGGAAAACTTCTGTATAATTTTATTTTGAATATTGTCTTAAGTGTCTTCAAATATTTTTGTCCATGATTGCTAATTTAATGTTTGTTTTTTCATTTCATCTGCACTATTATCAGGTTATTTCAGTCTGTTCCTTGACCAATAATATTTACAAATAATAAAGATATTTTACTGAAAACGGTAGAAATCAAAAGTAAATTTTGATTTAAAAAGCTATGCTACCTGGACACCCTGGTGCCAATTATGGTTTCCTTAAGGGGAGACAAAATTGTTTTCTGATTTTAAAAACTTGATTTTAAAATTCTGCTTTTTAAATCGCATTGGTTTTATGGAGAATTTTATAGCACGGCTTCAACTTAGTGCTATATACTTTTTTCTGCTTCATATTGTTTCCTTCATGACATTATATTATATCTGCAAACTGTTACTTTTCATTTTACTGATTATAAATTATTTTCTAAAGTTTGTTGTTATAAAATAATTGTACTTGAAAAATTCCACTACCAATGAGAAACATCATTTTCAGGGAACCAGATTACAGGAGTAACGACAGGTATGTTAATTTCATCCTGTCAAGAAATTTGGTTATTTGCATGGCTAAAAATATTTTTTCGGGGTGTCCAGTATGAGACATTGAGTAGCAAACTACTCTAAACTATACAGAAGTTGAAAGCAAATATGCTACGCCCAAAAACCTATTTTACCAAAACATCCAAATCAGAAAGAGTTTATTTACTGTAGTAGATTATGGCAATTGTATTTTTTATTTCACACTAAATTTAAATTTACATTCAAATTTTTGTAGATATTCATCCCCCACCTATGATTGTGGTTCAACATTTTGTCTATTTTATGATTTTAACAAAGAGATTCCTTAGTAGTTTCCAATTCCTTTTTGTTTATTTACAAGTTAATTATAGGCCTACTTAGATTTTGTTATTGTTATTTGTAAATAGTAAACTTCTTAGTACCCTTTTGTAATGTATTTATTTGTATAGTTTTCTTTAAATTGAAATTACCCTTAACACTGGTATGAAAAATGTTCTTCCCTCAACGGATGATAAAAAACTATTACAAATAAGCTATCCACCTTTCACATCTTACTTTAAACCTATTCGTTTTAGATATGGACGACCAACTCGCACGGAATACAGGCTGATGGTTAAAAACTTGTCCAGCAGCGTCAGTTGGCAAGTAAGTTCAGCAAATTGCTACTGTTACATGAATCTTCTTATCTTTGTACTCAATAAGTCAAAATTAATAAAAACACAAATAATAGCTCTACAATTCTTTCTAAACCACACTTGGCGTGCACAAAACTTCCCCATTCAACAACACTTTGATTGAAGTTTGTCATTTATTTTAAAACAAGTACATATTAATAAAAATTGTATGGAAATAGTTATTCCAATTTTAATTTATAGATTATATTGTTTTTTAAATATGTGGAAAGTGAAAAAATTAAGACAATTGTTATTTCAATCGCTTTTTCTCCTCTCAACATTTCTTAATACTGTATGCAGCTTTGCAATTTTGTTAATTTTAACAGATTTAGGTATTCTAAAAGGGTATCAGTCTATTTTAACAAAAATTCACATATTATGCTAACACTGAGATTGTTTTAAGCCTTTAAATTTCTCACTTTTATTTTTTTTATTGTTTATTATACAGGCCTAGAGAAGTGTTTTGATTTTCATGTAATGTTGCTTTAATTGTGAATATTTTTAACAAAATGTAGTTTGTAAACATATGTATTTTTGTAGTTTTTATTTTTATAATAAAATCAAGTAAACCGTGTTGAGAAACTTGTTTCTGTTAGTGACCACATTTCTGTGACTTTATGGAGTGACAGGAGGAACCAAAAGCTTCAGATTAGTTGGTTCTCTTTCCTTACTGTACACTTTATAAGTTTGTTCTGTAGAGAACCTTACCTATTTATCTACGAGGCATGTTTTTTAAGTAAGTACCGTTTTTAAATTTCTCCGTTCCAGCACTTCGATTGGTACCTATTTTCAACATTTGCGCTGTGTATGGGCATCTATTGGTAAGACCTAGCCGGAAATTCGAGAACAATCGGCCGTGTTTATATCCGGTTTCGAGCATTCAAAATGGTGCCGCCAATTGAGACTGCCGCCGACTGTGAAGTGTGCGCTGTAATTAGATTTTTAAGTGCTAAAGGTTTGAAAGCTATTGAATATGGTCAGATTAGTGAAATGTATGACGAGAACATTATGAGTGACGGAATGGTACGCAAGTAGGTAAGGGCATATTAAGACGGCCCTATCAATGTTCATTATTAGCAACGCACTGGGTCCGGGGACAGTAAAGACGCCGCCCAGTGCAATACTCATCATGAACGTTGGTGGGGCCGTATTAAAATACCCTTATCCACTTGTGTACCATTATGACACTCATAATGTTCTCGCCATACACTTCACTAATCTGTCGATGATTTTCAATGGCTTTCACATCTTTAGAACTTAAAAATCTAAATACAGCGTGTCACATTTGGCAGCAGTCTGAATTGGCGGCACCATTTTGAATGCTCAAAACCGGATGTAAACACGGCCAATTGTTCTTGAATTTCCGGCTAGGTCTTACCAATAGATGCCCATACACAGCGCAAATGTCAAAAATGCCAATCGCAGTGCTGGAACAGAGAAATTTAAAAACGGTACTTAAATTGGTCAAAGGATTAAATTAACTTTAAGGTAAGGTCCTGTTATAAAACTGATTTACTAAATAAACTATAACATATACTTGCTTGATGAAAAATGTGACCGAAAAGAAGGTTAGATTTAATGCTAAACTTGGCTGACATTGAGAGAAGTACCTAGTCTTAATTTATATCTCTTTTCATATAATGTTTTATTTCAGTTTCAAGTTTAAAAAGGTATATTCCCTATTCCCACCTATTTTTATTTTCACATTCACATCACCAAAAAGACACTGCATAGCCATTTTATGCTACCACTGTGATATTTGGCAAATATGTTTATTCTGCCATTTTTTCATCGTGTTACACTGAAATTATCTCTTGTTTAGTTTATACTCACTTGGGTTATGATTTCAAAACATAGAAAGCAATGAATCTGCTCATAAACGCGCATTAGAAACTTCACTTAGCTCGTAGCCAAATGTTAGCCCAATATGACTTTGCTGTAAGAAACTGTCTTTTGTTCTCTAGGACTTAAAAGACTACATGCGCCAGGCAGGCAAAGTTACATACGCCGATGCTCACAAAGGTCTGAGAAACAAAGGGTAAGCAATGCATTCTTGCCAGCAGTAATAGTTACTTCCCTATGGAAGCTTTCTAAAAAGTTCTTGCATAATGTAACTAAATCGGGGTTTAAATTAAATCAGTATAAATATTTTGGTCCAACAATAACTTATAAACCAATTTTTATTTGTTCCTGTATCTTATTTTAACTTGCCAAAACATGATTGCTTCAACCAAAATTGTTAATATACATATCTTGATAAATCTACAGCTTGTCTCCGCACAAACTTGACAAGTTAAACTTTTTCATTTATAGACACTGTTAAAGTTTTTATCTGTTTTGCTTTTAAGCATCATAGGCCTTATAATATATTTACTTAATCTTTTTTAAGATTTGTGGAATTCGCCACATATTCAGACATGAAAAATGCCTTGTACAAGCTGGACGATACAGAGATAAATGGTCGAAGGATCCGGCTCGTGGAGGACAGACAGGGCGACGGACGATGCTCTCGCTCCTCCAGCAGCCGCAGCCGCTCTCGGTCCCGCTCCTTTCGCACCCGCTCTAGGTGAGTCAAATATATCTTTTGCATTGAAAAAAAACTTGAGCTTTATGAAATTTGAACAACTTGTGTGAAACTTAATTCCCAAAACTATAATGTCCCTTTGTTTCTAGGTCTTGTAGCCAAAGAAGCAGCAGGAGCCGATCTCGCAGAAGTAGCAGATCCAAGTCAGAGTCTCGCTCCCGCTCACGATCCATGTGAGTAAATAAGTTTTATCTTTTATAACGAGTGTGTTACTAAACGCTAAATTGTTTGAAGGTGTTGAAGTTTTATCATTTATAATTATTGTATCAATCTTGAATCTATGATTTAAATACACATATGATTATCATTCAATTTTTGATCCCTTTCTTATCCTATAGATGTAAAAGTAGTAGTAATAGTAATACTTTTTACTTTTACTTTTTTACTTTTTTTTTTGTAGTAGTAATACTTTTTTGTGGGGAGTATAATCCTGGTATCGAAATATATTCAGTAAATTTGTATCAACAGTCTTGCATTTTGTCATTTATTTGCATGAACATTTCGTGTTTGTTTTGGTTTTGTTGATTATAACTGTCATCCACCATAAGACATCTTTTATTTTAATAGATCTCGCGGAAAAGATAGATCAAAGTCTAAATATAAGTCTTGCTCGAGGTCTGAATCAAAGAAACAGTCCAGGTCAAAGTCCAGATCTCAGTCTGTATCTAAAGGAAAGCCTAAGTAAGTACTTTTCTTATGGCTGCTTAATGCTTCCTGTGTAGTTTCTGTAGCTCTTGCTGCTTTTTGTCATCACCCTCTCCTGATTCAATCATGATCAGCATATCCACTAACCAGGGGTTTTGATGGTGTTGTCTATCTTTTAACTTGGTGGTTTTAACTTAGTATGAGCATGTTTTGGTTTTAATCCTTTGCATCTGTTAAATTCATCCAACTTAAACTAACATCCAACTCATCAGCACATCCACTAACTTGGGGTTTTGGTGGTGTTGTCTATCTTTTACTTTAGCATTAGCATGTTTTGGTTTTGGTTTTAATCATTTTGACCTGCTAAATTCGTTCAGATTAAACTAACATCCAAATTCTTCTACAGAACCTGAATTAATTGAATCCTCTGTGCAACCATATAATTTTCCATCACATTCATAATATTTTGCAGCTTCAAGTATTAACTTATAAGCATATATCTGAACCATGTCTTGTGAATAAACAATCTTTATGACTCAATTATTGCTAAAAAAAAATGGTGAGCATATCAAAGAGAATCACTAACTTAAAGAATAAATATTTGTTTACATTTGTGTAATTTCGTTGTTGGTCTTAATACATTTTGCATTTATAATGTAATTGAACACCCTAGTAGAAAAGAACTGTTATGATTTCCACTGTGGCAAGTTTTTTTTTTTATTTCCTTTTCCATAAAAAAAGATTACTTTTCACAATAATTTTTAACTCAATTTCTACTTGATACGTAAGTTTTAAATATTAATATCCCCTTGCTCAACCAGTTGAATTGTCTACCAATTGAGCATTCATTTGTGACACACTGCACTGGTTGAAGAATCATCAGTTACTGATGATATTTTGTTGCAGTGAAAGATCTCGCTCCCCAAGCAAAGAGAAGTCAAAGTCCAAGAGCCGATCACCTCAGAAGAATGGAGACCGTTCACCTGAGGTTCAAGATAATTGAATTTGTTTGTAACTTTTTATTTGTTTGTTGTAACTTTTTTATTTGTTTGTAACTTTTTTATTTGTTTGGATAAATAACTTTGTCCATAACTTCACTAATGTAAAGTCCTATTCTTAGATAATAAAACCGTTCATACTATTGTCATCAACCTGTTTCATTCACCTTTACCCTCGTAGTTATTCAACATAACTAGAATTACATTGGCATGTAGATGTGGCCAGTTGGGGTAGTTTCTTGAGAAACACAGCTCACCTCTTTACTGGTTAAGAAGATGTTGGCTAATCTGGCCTGAATAGTGCACCCCCACTCACTAACTCACCTCAGTCACGATTAGATTTTTGTGTAAATATTTCTCCCCCCCCTGAGTGGTTTTAGGCCCACATAAACACAAAATACCCCCACCGCAGCAAACCTGCAGACTAAGCTAATTTCAACTTGTCTGGTTAAATTTTTACTAAAATATCTCGATGGATAAGACATATTTATTCCCAATTTAAATAAGTCATAAGTCTTTATTGCCATTAAATACAATAAGTACAATAGGCTCGTCATTTAAATAAATAAAACATGCAAAATCAAATCTATCAACAAACAATTTAAATAAATACGCTCAAGTCAAAAAACAAAACAAGAAAACATGCACAAACCATGCAAGTGTACCTGAAAATGACTCAAATGGTTACCACCAGATTGCTTTTGTCGCAGTTCAAAAATTCGTATATATGGTAAAAAGGATTTAGAGTGAGCCAATGTTTTACAAAAGTGGAGAATTTTTTTGTTTGTAAATTTATTGTACATTGGGGCAATTTGTTGAAAAGTTTAAATGCCTGAAACAGGAAAAGAACACATTGATTTTTTTAATCCTATTTCTAGGTACAAAGATATCAAACTTATTCCTAGTATCATAACTATGTACATCGCTATTTACATGAAGAGAGTCTTGTCTGGCTTTTATTGCCACAAGACACTGAAAAATGTACTCATTTAAAATTGTCAAAATTTCATTTTCAACAAACAAAGGTCTGCAATGGTCAAGGTACCCAGCATTTGAAATTACTCTAACAGCTCTCTTTTGAATTAATAGAATTCTCTGAGTACCAGTGGCATGGCCCCACAGCCTGGTTCCATAGGTTAAATAGACTGAAAGAAAGCATGGTAGGCATGTCTAACTGTTGGCCTTGGAAGCTCAGACATTAGCTTTCTAAGCAGGAACAACACTCTGCTAAGTCTCTTACACAGGACATCTATGTGACCTTCCCAAGACAGCTTGGGATCCAGTACAAAACCTAACAGTTTTACAGACAAACTTTCAGGTACATTAGGCAAAAGGCTGAAAGCTATTTTCTGGGTTTTCAAATCATTAAGAGCTAATTTGTTTAAAATGAACCATTGCTGAGCCAAGGCCAAAGAGTCATGCACTGCTGACTGAGCCAGGAACCAGTTTTTATCAGACGAAAATAAAATGGTGTCGTCTGCAAATAGAATAATTTGACTATTAAAATGGTAGTGCAAATCATGGCAATCAAAAATAAGAGGGGTCCCAAGATAGAGCCTTGGGGAACTCCATGGAGCACATCACCTTTCTCTGAAAAAGTCCCATTCCAACTAACAACTTGTTTCCTATTTGACAAGTAAGAGGAAACCACTTTGAGGGAAACATATCCTAGACCATAGAATTTAAGTTTTACCAGAAGGGCATTGTGAGGAATGCAGTCAAAAGCACGTGACAAGTCGCAAAGAATTGCATGTGTTGACTTTTTGGACTCAAAAGACTTGATAATTTCACACACCAAGGACTCTACAGCTAATATTGTCGATTTGGCTTTCCTAAAGCCAAACTGTGAGGGAACTAGGAGATTGTTCTCCTCAAAGTAGGAATACATTTGAGAGAACATTACAGATTCCATAACTTTGGCAAAAACAGAACTAGACAAACTTTCGCGGGGACCTTTTTTATAAATTGGGACTGTTTTAGCTACTTTTAGGGCATCTGGGAAACAACCAGTTGCAAGACAGTTGTTTATCAGAATTGTGAGCTCAGGTGCAACTGTGTGTATAACATTAGCGTGCTTAGGTCGGCTGCTACGGGGAAGGTAAAAAATGTGTTTTGACCAAACGTCAATAGTATAGAATGAAATTAATGAATTTACCAAATTTTATATCTATAAACAAGTAAACTACAACAGTTTTCATTTTCTCCATAAGAATGACATAGAAATTTTATTTTCTCCGTTACTATTAGGCATAAAAGAATGCTTCAATATACTAAGTAGGAAGTCAATATTTACAAAAACTGCCATCTTAACATAAGGGGTTGGATTTAGGTTTTTGTGGTTTTTTTTTCAATAATATTACCTCAAATAATTAGTTTCCCTGTTGCAGCAAACCTACCAAGTTTTTTGACCTAACGTCAATAGTATAGAATGAAATGAATGAATTTGCCAAATTTTATATCTTAACCCTAACTGTGTCCATACTTTCTGGTGACTGAAGTGTTTTAAAACTTCCGTGCTGGTCATTCCACAAACATTCCCTGGATTACACCTCACGTATCGACCCTTAACGCATGTTTGCTGCTGTTTTCCTGTCATATAAGGCCAAACTGAAGCATGACTCACCTGAGCGGCGAGCGGCGTTTTCGCGAAAATCGGTTTTGACTTGGAACCATGTGCGCCGTTGAGTGGTACCGCTTACCACCGCTCGCCGCTCAGACGTATCGTGGCCACCCTCAACAAATTACACGCAACTAAATGAGACCCGATGTCAGAGCGGCTCCGCTCATGCCGCTCCCCGCTCGTATCGTACCCGGGACCTTAATATCACTGTATTTCCTTGCGGTTGTTATTTGGAGGGTTAAATCCACGAATGTTAGAACAAAAGTGGTAGGCCTCGGGGACGATATGAGTGGTGGGCGGTAAGCGGCGAGTGGCAACCTGGCGGGACGTAAGCGGCGGAGGTGGCTACGATACAAGCGGCACATTTGTAACGCTTATCAAAATTTACCAGTTTTATTTATGAGTCAGTTTGGTCGAAAATGGTAAACTATGCTTACCTGCAAGACGTGTATGCAAATTATTAATGCTATCTGACAATTGTTTGTCTTTTAAGAAAAACTTAGTTTTTAAAAAAACCTTAACCCTAGCAGTGTTCCATACTTTTCTGATGACTGAATTGTTTTAAAACTTCCGTGCTGGTCATTCCTCAAACATTCCCTGGATCGCACCTCACTTATCGACCCTTATCGTATGTTTGCTGCTGTTTCCCTGTCATTTTAGGCCGAACTGAAGCATGACACCTGAGCGGCAAGTGGTTTTCGCGAAAATCGGTTTTGACTTGGAACCACGAGTGGCGCTGAGCGGTGCCGCTCGCCGTTCAGACGTATCGTGGCCAGCCTCAACAAATTTACATGTAACTAAATGAGACCCGATGTCAAAGCGGCGCCACTCATACCGCTCGCCGCTCGTATCGTACCCGGGGCCGTATGTATATTAAACATAAACAGAAATTATGTCGATTAAGGTGACCATGGAGACTGATACATACTTTTTCCCCATTTGCTTGACATTAAGAAACATCCCTACTTCAAAAGTAAAAAAGTTACATGCGAGTGTTTTTATTTTTGAGCTTTACAAGTGATTTCCCTAAAACAAAAATTACAGAACAACGGGTAAATAGACATTACATGTTAGGCATTACACTGGGGTTTTGAATTGAACAGCCGAATTGAGCTCTAGCCTACCTTAGGTCTTCAATTTAACCCCCGAGTTTATAGCCTTACCCAACTTATGTTCTTAACTGATCACCCAAATTCAGCCTTAGACTAATTGCGTCTTTATTTGAACACCTTAGCCACTTGTATTACAATAATACATTGTTTGTTGTTCCGTCATCCCAGCATATGTTTTTGAATATTTTTTTTTACTGTTCTGTCATCCCAGGAAAAATGTTTTTGGAGATTGCATTTGCTGTTCCAATACCAGCTAGAGCTAAATACTTATTGGATATAACATGTTTGTTCCATCATCCCAACAAAAAACATGCTCAGTGCTTACCGCCAATATCACGGTCTGACTTAAATTCAAGTAAATGAATATTTTTGCTGTTTGCTGTTGCTCCGTTGGAAGCTCACATTTTGCCCTTTTTACGCGCCTTTTAAACGCGAATAAAGAAAATTTGTGGTTAGGTTGATTTGAAAATAAGGTTCAGTGCATCTGCATGGTACTTAGTGCAGTTAAATAGATTTTACTTTAAAATTTAACTTAGATCACGGATAAACATCTTACAGTATGTCAGTAGATAGTGAAAGTGTTAGTAAGCGTGAGAGTAACCTCCCTAGGGAGCGGGAGCTAAGCTTACAACAACAGCACACAGAGCCATGCCGGGAGGAGGCGAGTGGTAAGACGATTATATTTTTGAACTACATTACCTGTACTTATTAGCTTATATCATTGAAATGCCATTTCGGTAGGTGTATGGCTCTGGGGAGTGGGAATTTGTAGCAGGGATTTTTCCCTAATCCTTGTATTTCCCCTACTTTTGTAGTAAAACAGTGCAAACCTGGTATCGCAACCCCCTACAACTTCCCTTTTTTATTTACAAGGGGAGAAACGCCCATAATATATTTTTTTCCTCCCAATTTGTCAGATTTATTATATCTACCTACCTACCTCAATACAAATAGGCTACACCAATTTTGCCATTTATCTGCCCCATTCTTCCGCTAGGGGGCTAAACCCCCTTTTCCCTACATGTAGGCCTATTGATCTGGGGTGTTTGTTGAAATGATGTTAGGGGATTGAAACCTTTGAGTACCTAGTCAAAGGTACTCAAAGGTTGCTTGAGTGAGAAATTCAACGGAGCAATCCCCGTTTCGCTATCTGCCCCCCTTTTTGAGTAATGGGGGGGGGTATGGCTTTTTATATTACTAGCAAAACCCCAATTATTTTCTTCTGAGATCACGTAAGACACCTGTGCTCTGGCGGTCACGGCAACACTCGTGAGCATATATTGTGGTCGCAGTGCAGTGATACCGTGATTCTATCCCTTGATCACGGCGAGGATGCGGAATATTACCCCCAGAAATGCTAACTAAGTTAATCAATATGGGAGCCGTGTCTGGGACAGGAATACTACCCTCCTCCATAGCAAAATATGATGCTATGTATTAAATTAAATTTCATACTTAATAATTATCATTCTAATTTTGATTCAAGTAATTTTGTTTGATAACAGCTAAGGTATATGGGGAATAACAAACAGAATTTCAAAATGTTACAGCAAGTTTGGTTAGTTAGGTTAGGTAAGTTTAGAACTGTTTGACAACAAAACTTGAGTGTCTGTGGCTGGAAAACTACCCATCCGATCTTTGACGTCAATATGACGTAGGAACCTGCTTGGGGGGGGGGGGTAATTGTCCGGGGGGCAGTCTTTGTCCGGCCACTCATCAGTGTAATACACATTACCAGTGATCGCGTCCTTATAAGGTTAAAGTGCACCATTGAAACACCGTCAATTATCAATAATTGAGATGGGGACGCCACCTAGGTGCGTATTTTAATCCAAGTATGTGTGAAGGATAAGTGTAGAATGGTGTGTGATGACCTGTGTAGCTTTTTTACTGACTAAGATCAGCGGTTTCATTAGTCAGGATAATTTATTTAAAGCCCAATGATCAGGAACAGCTGGATCCGAATGGAGACTCTGACAAGAGGGATAAATTCCCGGTCCATACCATATTCAAGTACACTTCACAGTCTCCATTTCGGCTGGCTACTGTGTATAGGCCTACATGTCTCTCAATTGCCAGCTTAATGCCAATAAAAGAAAATCAACTGAAAACATGTAGTAGCCGAGTCATCTAGTGTCTTATGACGGGTCTTCAATAAAACACGTCTTGCTGCTACAAAGTCCAGTTTATTAAGGAAGCGTCTAGGCTAGTTAACATGTGGGGTGGGGGTCATGCAAGTCGCGCCCTTATCATTTTTGACCTCTGGTCTATGGAACTTAACTAGCCAGAACAAATAACAATACATAGGCTATGTATTACAAATTATAATAATATGACATCTAGATACAGATCTGCCTAGTTAGATAGACATTTGAAATCAATCATGATTTTTAGAACTAAAATTGCAACCCTAAATCAGCTGACATTTTAAGTGGTGTATGCAATATTCCCTCTAAAAAATTACTACTCTTTTTACGTTACACACTTGTTGTAAAATTTTGTATTGTGAAGTTTGCTTATCGCAATTATAATTCATACAGGCACAGAGTAAATTTTGTAGTAGAAAAGATTGATGTCATCAAGTGTTTTCATTAAGCCTATCTGTTATTTTTGTTAGTGAAAAACTTATAAATAAAATTACATATAGAAATTCACTACGGTACCACTAAATTGTTATTTAGTTAACTACTTTATGGGATTATTTGGGGGTTACTTTCTGCACTAAAATTAAATATGTCTGGGCCGCCTTCCGTGGAAGAAAATTTCAATGAGGCCTACATGCCACACCTAGAAATCTGTGAATTCATACTAATCATTGAAACCATGAATTTTAGTTATACTGTAAAGAATACCTAGCTTAGCGGTTCTTGAAGTTATATAGGATAAGGCAAATAAACGTAGCCCATAATAAGTTGGTGAGTTTGCTATAGTGGTAAGGTAGCTGTATATATTTTGTGATAAGCCTAATTATAATACCACAGATTTTTTGTCCTTTCGAGCTTGTTGACATTTGTTGAAGGTACTTCTAACGACTTCCGACAATGGCAGAGCTCTATCAACTTAATGTGCGATGAGAAGATGGATATCGATCTGATCAAGTCTGAAATCGAGCTGCGTGAGTATAATTTAAAGCAACAAAACTTGTGTTTTTATATTTATCCTAAAAGTGGAAAAGAAACAGTTTCAACTGTAAACAGTTCTGATCTGGCTAATTTCTTAAAAGAAATAATGTTTGTATAGCTATAGTTTTAGTGAATTTCCCATATTTTTAATAAGCTATTACCGTAGGTCTCATGGTAAGACCTAGACCTAGGACCGATTTACTTTTTTTGTTTTTAGGTCCCCAGAAGCAAAAAAACTATATATATATATACAGGGTGCGACAAAAAAACCGATATATTTTCTGCATTGCACTGTTCAGCGACAGGTCGTCTGAGCGGTAGGGTTTGGCTCGTTGGAAAGTCTACACAATGCCATTATCTGTAGTAATAGAAGAGTGGTCTTCTGAGCAACGAGTGTTTGTCATCAAGTCGTTTTTAAAAGTTATGATTCAGTCATCGCAACTCAGTGACAGTTCCTTGTATTCTTCCTATTAGGTCAGTGGGGAGTTTCCGTCGCATAGCACAATCATGCGTTTGGTTACTAACTTTAGAAAAACTGCTTCTTCGTTGAAAAAAAGCTAACTAGCCGTCCAAATTATGATCAGACAAATAAACATTCGATAGAGTTTGTGCTGCTGTGGAAAACAGTCTTCGTAGGCCCACGCTGAAACAAACGCCTGCTTTGAATATGTTTAACTGTTTTGATACCCAAATTTTGATGTGGTGTTGATAATTTTCATTTCCACTGATAAATTTGAATTAATATGTTAACATTTTTTGATTATCCATACAAATATTCAAGATGAAACCCTTCCATGTCTACCTAATTAAAAGAATATATGGAACTGCTGCTGAGTTGCAATGACTGAATCATTACTTAAAAAAAAGCTTACAGCAGATTACCACTGTTTATGACTACAGATAATGGCATTGTGTAGGCATTCGAATGATTCAACCCCCCAACCAACCTTAGACAACCTGTCACTGAACAATTTACTGCAGAAAATAGGTCATTTTTGTACTGAACTCTGTATATATATATATATATATATAGAGTCAATATATGTGTCAGTGAACACGATAACTTTGTAATTTTTGTCCGATGTTGGTAGAACTTGGTTTAAAGGGGTAAGGCAGGATAAACTTGAATGAGTTTGCAAACCAGGATGATCAACTCATACACCAAACCCACATGGACCCCATAATTGGTGCAACCGTTCCTAAATCCGGTGCAAACCGTCCAAAAATGGTGCAACCATTTATAAATAAATAAATAAATTAATTAATTAATAAAAAAATGACGAGTGTTTTGTTTAGTCACTGGCTTTGGCCCAGTGTTACATCTGGGTAATTGGAGCAGGGTTTCATGGGGTAAAAATTGGTTTTTCTAATTTTTGACCCTCAAAAACACAAAATTTCCCAATTTTTCTCTATACCGTTTTAAAGAGATTAACAAAACCAAAAATTTAGTATATCAAAGTGTTTTTGTATATTGGCAATGTAGAAAATTATAAAAATTATAAAATTAAGATTCCTATTTTACTCTTATGGAGAATTTTATTAATGTTGTAGTTTGCTTGTTTATGGATATATTTTGATCCAACTTGGCAACTTTTTTATCTTATACTGAGCTATTATTATAAAAAAAAAACTTGATTATTTTCCTTATAGCAGCAAAACCTAGGTACTCGTTAAACCTAATGTTATTTAAACTTAATTGAAAATCAATTCAGAATGGAAATTTGCTTAGTACGCAGGTTTGCTGCAGCGGGGGTATTGTTTATTTCATACTAAGCGTTGTTTATTTAAAAAGCTTGATATAAACAATATGTGCGTTTTTATAGGCCTACACTCAACAAAACTAGTTGCTTGAGTTAATAATATAATGACGTTCCTGAAAGAGAACAACATTCAATTAAGTCACGGTTTCGATTTTTGAATGTAATTTGAATTTGAATGTTATTTTTTACAGCATTAGCAAAGAAAGGCTCTAAGGACTTTGATATCTATTGCATCCCTGGCATTCGCCCACTCGACCCTGATGCAGGTAATGGTTATTCTATTATGTTTGCCCATTTTAAATTGATTTTGATTACGACTTTGTGTTTCAGGAACTATAAAATCACTATATAATTAAGTGGTGTTGATTTGTATTAATGCTTTTTAAGATTGGTGCTGTTTTAACCTTCAAGCCAACACTAAAGGGGAATTCCTGTTATTTTGGATGTTTCTACCAATCCATCAATTAAACTGCCTAGGTTTATTTGAGAAAGTATGGCCAACCACTGTAATTTATATGAGTTGTAAAATAGAAAATTAAGTTGAAACTGGTATAAAAGTATTTTTCTTTAAGTATAAAGAAGCAAAACAAATCTAATTGTAAACATTTGAAAAATGCACTGACTATTTCTTCATTATTTATTAGGATCAAGTGGGATGATTTTTGGCCATGGTTTGAATCATCTACTGTAATGTATACATTTTGACAATGTTATATTTACAGCATTGGTAAAGGAAGGATCTAAGGACTTGGACGTTTGTTGCATCCCTGGAATTCGCCTACTCGTCTCTCCTGCAGGTAGGCTTAATTGTGACTATTGTTTATAAGTTTGCACATTTCAACCTGATATCCATTATGACTTAGAGGTAGGGAATTGTAAATGCACTATGTTGGTAATTATTCTTGTTGATTTTCATGAATTCATTTAAGAATGGTGCTCTTTTAACTTTCCAGCCAACACTAACTGGTCCCGGCTGTTAATTTGACTGTCTTTATCAATTCATCAATTGGAACAACTTTTTTTATAAAGAGAAAATAGTGAATCATCATAAAGTATAAGTTCTCTATTGGTTCTCATTTGTATATTATAACTTCTTACAATATTTATTATCATTAAAAGTTTTATTTCTAATTTTCAGCTAAAAAGAAGAAGGTGAACTTCCAAGAATAAGTTCTGATTAATAGTTTATCTTATGAATAAGTTACAAATGTATGAAATATTGTACAAAATTTAATGAATAAATAAATAAAATCAACCTAAAGAAAGCTCTTGATTAAGCGTAAAACTTTATAACACCTAGATGTTTCCAATTCAGGACTCGTTGCCTGTTGAAATAAAGGATTTTCATTTCATTTCATTCAGTATCACAGGTAGCCCAACATGCTTTAGCTCTAGAGTCCTTGGAGCCTAGACGTTCTAACTAAAAAAACCATTAAAAAACAACAAAGCAAATTTCTAATCTTACAGTATATTAGATATTTAATCTCACAGTATACTAGATATTTACATTATAATTACTGTGGTGTTTGAAAAACTATTTTTGGATATTAATTAACCCTCTTGAAATCACCTAAGATGACCACTAGCCTCCAAGGACTCTTTTCCAAGAAGGGAGTTTTCAAGCTCCTATCAATGAAAATGTACTATAATTTTGACTATACAGTAAAAAGAATACATGACATGTGAGGTGTGATGAACTAAAAGAAGACAAAATAAGTCAACTGTACGATACAATTTTTATTAAATATATAGAAACAAAGCTAAAGATTACAGTAAACCCTCGCCTGTAATCAATTGAAAACATAACATGGATTGTACTTAGCCATAGATATGTTACATTCATAAACAGCATACAAGAAAATGGAATTTTAGCAAAGAATCTTTATAACTTTTTAAATTCCTCGAAATATCTGGGAATAATCTCCTGCGTACAAAAATACTAACTACACTATTCTTTTAACAAAAGACTTCTTGTGTTTATTAAAACATGAAATTACAAAATTTCTGAACATACTGTGCAATACTGTTGCCACAGTCTAAACCAATGATGTAGATATTATACCCGGCCAGTATTGTAGATGCAAGTGTGACAGCTCTGTGTAGCAGTTTCTTTCGGAAGTTGTCTTTCTTGACAAGTATGACGGAAGAGGCGGAGAATAAGAAGTGGTCAGTGAGAATACATGACAGGTGTGGGTCTTCGCTCACTTGGTACTGACAACAAGGGTCCAACTGCCAGGAGATAGTGTACACCCCGGTGCACAGCAAGGACGTGCAAGCCAAGGGCATGAACAGGGCTGGTTTGTTTGGCCCCACAAAACCTATCAAATAAGACCAAAAATAATTTCTAGATAATACAGATTGACTGAGATTAGTTGAATCAGTTAACCTAATTGAAAAAGATAGCTAAACGTTTCATTCTCAATTTACATGAGTCACCATTATGTCAGCTGATATCAAAGAAAATGTATGGTTATGATTTAGATACAGTAAAGGAAAAACAAACAGCACATTTTTATTTTAATTTATGTGCTTTTTATTGTTCCCAGTAAATGTTGTTTTATTTTTATGACCATAAACGCTGATGTTTCTTTACAATGTAGTTTTGTAATTTAAATCAGAACAGTAACTTTAGGAATAAAGATGAAAAGTATCGTTCACAGCTTATACTAAAGAAATTTAGGACACTTTCTTAGTTAATTCCTGGTCTGATCGGCTTAGCCTCACACGTAAAATTATAAATTAAACCTTTCTTTGCTGGGCTTTGATTTAATAGATCCTTGAGCATTGAAAAATGTTACTTTTAATTATTTTAATTGACACTGTATCTACTTTTGAGCACCCAGAAAAAATCTATGCATTATTTTGTTACTGACTGAAAAAATCATAAATGATACAACCTCAATGTTTCTGTATTTGGTTCTTGATTTTTTTTTTAACTTGTAATTCACAAGAAAAATAAATTAGGTAAGATATTTAAAAGTTTAAAACACTGATATTGACTAACATAAAAAAAAACATAACACAAAGGAAGATGGTAGAACTGAAGCGTGTCGTGTTACTATAAATTATAGTAACGGTACAGGACTCATAGGATCGCTAAGGCTCAATATAATCAATCTAGTGTTGCGAGCGACATTCTGAGTTGAATAATAATGATCTTAAATTAATTACTGAGCCTAACCACATCCATATCACAGCCATTTTGATGATCTAATATTACTAATGCATCTAATTAATATTTTAATAAGTAAAAGAACAATGAAAACTTCCACTCGTACCTTGAGGGTACGAGTGTGCTCGAAAGTTTAATTTACATATTAAGCTAAAATAGTTAGGCTACTAGTTCCCTAAACCCCTTGATTCCCCCCTTCATGAAAAAAATTTAGATCATATTTATTTAACTAACCAAACCTAAGATAACTTATCGTTCGTAGACCATGTTCAGCGTTGACCAGGTCGCCTACACACCCAAACTCCAGGAGACAACTACTACTCTGTCTCTGCGCTTCCTACCCCCTCCCCAGTTCTCCAGTGATCAGCTGATCTTTACCGTCTGATGCGTCACCGCTGTGACGCAAGCGTCAAAGAACGTAATTATTATATAAACAATTTACCATCAAAGTATTTGTATAGGAAAGGGCGGTACAAGACCTATATTTTGGGGGATATGGAATACCCCCAGCTAAGGAACACATGTAAAATTATGTGCTTAAATAAGCTATTTTGAGACATAAAAATTAAATTTATCTAGGATAACGTGTACAAGCTTCATAGTTTATTTCAAGGTTCGAGAAGTTAAAAAAATAAATATGCAAAGTGAAGTTTTTGCATTATTAACCCTTTCAGTGCTATGAAACGATATATCGTTGTTTTAAAAATCTCTAAGGGATATAGAGAGGAAGGTTATTTTAACAAAAAGTAGCAAAACGGCCATTGGTGACTTGCATGTTCATAGGATACACTAACAACCACTTAGCTAAAAGATTCGCCCAATCCGATGATTTCGAGGTATATGTCTAAACCAAGGATTATGAACACCTCACTATGCCCCAGTGGTTGTAGTATATCGCTACAAACACACAGGTCACCAATTATTTGCCATGGGACGGGATTCGAACCCAAGCAGACGAATGCCACTGGCCAAGTGACACACGCCCTAGCCTTTTCGGCTATCTGTGCTTGAAGACTGTTGTCTGCGCTACAGATTGTTGTTCAATGCGTTACTAGGTAGCAGCACCAGTTAGTCACGGACTATTTAGATGATATTTTTTAGTTGAAACACAATAGTGATCATAAATATGTGTTCCTGAGACTTTGCTGCAAAACATTAGTTTCCCTAAAATGGCTATATTACAATAACCTCGTCCAACTATATCAAAGTTAAATTCAATATTACATTGTAAACTATATGTCTTTTGATTTTATGAGATTTTGGTTTCAAACAATGCTATCAACATTTGTAGGAAAACCAGGAAAATTGAAACAAAAACTAAGTTTTATTTAATGTTTTCAACAAATACCGGGATTTATCTTTGTTATATATTTTCCTAATGTCTTATTATTCAAACTTAACCTAATTAATAAAATAGTTACAACATTACAGTTAAAATTAAACAACAGGTATTGGAATTAAAAGGCAAACAAAACAGTCTTACGAAATATGAATTATTGGCCTAGCACTGAAAGGGTTAAGCCTTCTAGAATTTAATGACCTTGTGATTTTAACAAATATGGACTACCACAAAAATATAACACATTCAGATTACAATTGAATGATTCATAGAATTTATGTTTTTGTAATTGACTCTCCCACCAAGGTTATATCTACTCCCTAAGCATTATGGATTTCCGAAAAAAAAACCTTTCAACTGGTGCAGATATGCATGTCAAACAGAAAATGTATTACAAAATCAGACCAAGATTACGAAAAAGAACTGGTTTTATTGAAAAAAATGATTGAGAACTTGCACCCAGGGCTACAGATATACAAGGGCTGGCTCACTCCTTTGATGTTAGCGGTCGCCGCCTGATCCTACTTCCTCTACCCCGCCACTCCTCAGTGACGTAGCGGAGATACACCGGAGCGAGGCGTGACGGTAGCCTAGCACGGCAGTGCATATGTCGCCCGGCATCTACGCGCATATTAATAATTGTGTTTATAATAATGTAGTTTTATAGTGTGATTTTTAAAGCGGGCTTCGTTAACCCTCCAACTTGCAATGGGCGAACTCTGTAGTGGCAAGGAATTTTTGGTGACTTTGCAGTCATATTTTCGAAAATTCATATAAACTAAACCAACCGATCAAACCTATGAACCGTATTTATTATTTCCAGCTTGAAGTGTTCGTAATGAAATGAAGAATTTGAAAATGGCAACAAAATAAATATATATTGTAGAAAATATTGTCAGTAGGTAGAAAAATTGCTGCATGAACCGAAAATGTTTCATAAGATATACAAATTGTTTGGAATCAATTTCCCTACATGGAAATGTAAAAAGATTCCAATTACCATTTATACAAAGCTATAGCCCAAAAACAATAAAATGACAAGTTTCACGATTTTGCACAACAAATTTCAAATAAAAACCAAATAAATAAATGTATTATCAAGAGATAAAGTAAAAATAAACATTTTTAGTGTAAATAAATAAATAAATAAATGTATTTTATATAACCTCAATGAATCCTAAAAGGTATGAATAAGTAATAAATAAATACAATTAATAATCCATACATTAAGATACATTCGAGCAATACGAACACAGATATTACACAGTAACTTAATACATTGGATCAATAACTACAGTATTCTTAGCCATCGCTTTACATTCCACTCCCATCCTTAAATATCTACTACAGTTAATTTTTTACTTATTAAAATTTATGTTATACGTAATCCTATTTGAAAATCAATTACTTTTATAAAACACATTAATACCTAATAAAAAATGTCCAACATAGAGCTTAATAAACGCAAAATGTGCGGTAATACCAGAGCTCACACAGGCAAAGATATACGGTGCCGGGAGCCCGAGGTATCGCCGTGACGTCACAGCGGCGGAGTGGTGGGGAGCCACCTGGCATCACTTTCTGAGCTCGTGTGGCCTAGCCCTTGTATATCTCTAGCCCTGACTTGCACCCAACACAAATGTATTCTTGCCCAGTAAGCAGAAGTTAACCTACACAAAGTGCACTACCCAACTAAAATTGCGTTGCCCGTGGACATCACTCACTGCCACCGTGTCCAAGTAACATAGATTTGGCCTGCAGAATTCGTTCCAAGTGTTCTCATGTTGATTTGTAGCTATTCTTGAATATGATATCAGGTCCTCTAATTAATAAGTAAAAATTACTACTATTTAACCCTTGATCTGGTGGTATTTTTATGCTGTGGTGGCAAGGGTTTATATGCATGCCAGCACGAGGGTTAAATATTGAAATTTTTAAAATTGGCTCCAGTAATAATTGAATTAGGCATAAATTACTTTAATTTACAAATCCCAACATTTAACTCATATTAATCAATTTTCAACTACCTTTCAATCTTTGACTATAGATAATCCTACAACATCTTTATTCTTTATATTATTATCTTGATAAGCTTAATCTTCTTTATCCAATAGTCAATGCTTTCAATTTTCTAACTACAATGAATTAGGCTAATATTGAATGCTGAAGAAATAAATAAGGAGAAGAATGTGGCCGAATTCCACCTTGGAACACTGCAGTATATGCCTGAAATCGTTGGTCTGACGATCATCCCTACTTTTAACAACGAAAAAAAAAAGAAATAGTCAGTCTTGAACGATCCCAAGTTTATTTTAGAGTTTTTATTCATTCCTAACGTTCACTCCAAGTGTAGCCTCGGGTACACTTCCATATCTGTTGGCACAAACAATCGAATGAGTAATATCGATTATTCGATTGTTTAATTCGATACATCGTTTGCTTAGTTAGGTTAGGATAACCTTACCTTACTAACCAAACGATATATCTTACAATCGATATTTCCATTCGGTGGTTTGTGCCAACAGATATGGAAGTGTAACCGTAGCCTATAGACTACAATGAATTTGGTTAAACGATTTGCAATAAAGTTCCCCTCTAATTTATTTATAGTAACTTAGTTTATCTGTAAAAAAAATACCCCTCCCCCCCCGTGATCACTCCTCTGGGCCACCCTTGTGTATAGAAGTAGGCCCTAAGTTACATACCGAGTAAGAAGGCTTACCTGAGACAATGGCACCTAGACCAGCGTATACGGCTGTTTGGTGCAGAAAGTTTCCAACTGATATCCATCGAACTGTCTCATCACCCAGAGGTTGTAGTTCAATGACTATTGTGTGACAACCATCTTCTAGTGCCCTCTCCAGCTGGTCACAGCCATCTTGGTAGTTACGCAATTGATCAATCTCACTGCCACCAACGTCTCTGATGATGGCAGTATCTGACGTATCATAGTACCTATAATAACAGAATACCATGTAGGCTGCATTAGTTGTATCGATATTTCCATTCGGTGGTTTGTGCCAACAGATATGGAAGTGTACCCGTTGCCTATAGACTACAATGAATTTGGTTAAACGATTTGCAATAAAGCTCACCTCTAATTTATAGTTTGTAGAAATAGGCCAAAAAAGGACTTTTGTAGGCTTAAGAAGGCTTTTAATCCAATTAAAAACAATTTTTTATTTAACTTACAAAGGTCAGTCAAACTTTGATGTTTGAAAACTTTCATAATTTTCTTTGTCTCAGGGGTTCGACCATTTAAAAAGTACCTAACTTAAGTTGTTTTGTGTAAGCTAGGCTCTAAGTTAACTGAATACTAAGTTAGTACCGACTGAACAGACTCGTGCTAATTTGGAGTACAAATTAACCTTTGATGAGCCTAGAGCAAGTAAATCCACTAAAAATGACTCATCAAGTCATAAACTCAAAACCTAGGCAAAACTTAATGATCAAACATCCAGATCAAAAGTAATAGGATATAGCCTAGGCCTATGTAAAATTTCTTTTAAGTTTCCATTAATTACGTGTACCTAGGCCTACCGGTCCTGAGTTTAGAGTTAAGCACTAAGTCTAAGTATAAATATTTCATATTTTATAGACCAAGCAGTAGGCCTATTAAGTTAGTCCTAAACTTACAATGGGTACACACAAATAGGCCTATGAGTTCAAGAATTTGACCTGTAAGAATATATGCTACCGGTAACCTTAGTTCAGTCATAAAACCAAACAAAGGCAATGTAAAATGGAGATAATTTACTTATTTTATAAATTACCTTTCTTCAGCCATTGCGAAAAATGTAGGGAACCTCCAAAAGAAGAACTCTTTACTTTTATAGTAGTAGTGCTGTGTGCTGTGTGTAATAAATTACAATGCTCATGGGATTGATTGCAGGATTGGTATTGGTTCTGGTTACTGGTTGTTGTTGTTGCACGAACATGTGTTTTTTTTTAATATAAAGTGATATTGAAAAGATAGCTTATTTTATAACCATGCAGCTGCACTATTACAATTTTCAGCTGCACTAAACATTTCACACTGAAATGAGTGAAATGTGTGAAAATTGTATGAAAATTGTGTGAAATTTGTGTAAAATTAGTGTGAAGAAGTACACACAAATTCACATCACAGTCACAGTCAGTTGTTGTATACACTGTGTCGTGACTGATGTGATTGAACTGTGACGTGTTATGTGTGAATCGACTTTTATGTTGTCAAATACAACAGCTGGTTTCTTTTCAATGATATTTTTGGATTTTTCAAACGCCTGCTTGGTGACAACGTGAGTGTTTGTATACTAAGCACTGTTTATAACAATCAACAAAAATGGACGATGAACATTTGACAGAATATTGCGTTTTAATTAAAAAATTAAATGTAACATCAGTAAATAAAGAGTCGGAAAACTGACTGCAACCAATTGATTGACAGGTTGATTGATAAGTTACGGATGCAATTGAGACTGAACTGTGACTGTATCATGATAACATAAATTTCCTAATAATATTCAAACAGGGCGATTTAAATTTAAAACATGTATATAAGAATCATGTTGGTAATGACTTGTCATTTGAACAATTTAAAACAATCTTTGTCACCAATGCAGGGATAAAACGAAATATAGCCGTAGATAATATAGATATTGATTTATTTTTGATCAATTTTATAACGACTAAGAGGGTGGTAAGGGTATAAATAAGTGAAAGATTGAAGTTTTAACATTTACATTTATTCATTGTTCTATATCCTACAGGTTTATATATATATATACACATACAATTGATCCTGGGTTCTATGTCTTGGCAGTCCTGGCTATGTTTGATCAAATTTATAATGACCAAGCGCAAGAGTATTGATGCCATCTTCTAGAATAAACCTCTTGTCATCGTCAAAGGATAGTACTTTCTTGTTCATGGTCAAAGTTTGAAGATGATGATTTGTAGATTTAATTCTTGTCACATTCTCGTAGTAATCTTGCCCAGTTGCAAGACAGTTCAAATAATGTTGATGTCTAAGGAGATGTTTAACTGTAGCACCATTGGCTCCTTTAGCTTTCTTAACCTAGTCTAAAGCTTGCTTGTCTTCTTCATATAACCATTTTACAGGAATGTAAGAATATAACTTTGGTCTTAAACCACAATATTCATACATAATATGACCATCTAATTCGTCTTTAAACTTGCCTGTGACTATTTTTATTTTTATCAGAGTATAAGAAATGGTCTTTACTATATCCAGAGGTATCAAAATAGTGCAAGTCACATTATATTCCTTGTAAAAGTCCTCTGTAACTATAGAATACATTAAAGAATCTGTATCTGTCATAAGAAATCTTTTGTTCTTAAATTTTGACATATAATTATAGTGGAAATCATACATTATTACTTTACTTATATCCAAAATTGTCATACCTAAATATATAGGTTTATTAAACTTTACAACTAATTTATTTAAATGTATAGCATGTAAATTGTTATCAAACTTGTTGCTACAATCAAACCTTGGATTAGTTACATATTTTGTTAATAGTGACTCATCCTTGAGATATATATCACGAAACTTTCGTTGATCGACCAAAGAGACTATTATTTATCAATTTGTAAAAGTCTTTTTCGAAATCATTTTTAGCCCATTTTCGTTTTTCAATATTAAAATTAATATAGGGCGCAAGCCATTTAGACTGTCTAAATTTTAAAATTCGATGGTATTTTGTAACAACCAAACCCAATTCCTCATATTTTTGTAATGCTTTATAATGTAAAATATATTTAGTTTTGTCATTTAAATTAGGTATTAATTTGCCATTCATTTTCTCTGGTGCTAATAGATAGTCATTATGTAAATCATGTAAGCTTTTATCATATTTTAAATCAACTTCTAAAATGTATCCAAACTCATAATTTTGATTATTTTTGTATATTTTATAGTCTATCTCATTAGTCCAACGAAATCCATCCACAGGCAGTGGCTCGCACATTGCTGTAGAGTATAGTGAGTTACAGTCTAAATATATTAAATAGACACTCTCTTGGTTGGGGCATAGATAAAACATACTCCCTTAGTAGATTTCCCATCCTTATGGAACAGCTGAAGCCAATTTTATTGTTAGTTCTGTCCGTTTTTCTGTAGAGGTCGTGTTTTGTTTACAATTTGTTTCCCGTTATTACAGCCATTTAAAACCTCGTTTAACCAAATAATACGATCTAATCATAAACAATAACTTGTCCCCTAGTTATATAACCAAACAGTAAAGCACAAATCAAGAAATTAACCCTAAAATAATAGAAACAAAGTTTCGTCGACACTAGCGCCCAGTGTGGCGTACATGAACTAGACATGAAAAACGTGCTTCAAAATTTACAATGGGATGAGAAGTCTACTTGTGTTGGTTAGTCTATGGTTGGGGTCATAGTGTTCACCCATATATCTATTATTGGCTTTAGCGTAACGTGTAGAAATCATACTGACTCCTCCTCTAATCGCACTTTCTATGAACAAATGCATGTCAATATCTTAAAATAATTGTAATTTTATACCAGTCATTCTAAGACAGGCCTCCCATGTTTATCCAGGAAGTGAATACATATGTACGGGGTCCAGTTTGTAATCCTTTAAACACAGGTCTCTAAATTTCTCAAACACATCAGCCAGTAGCAATACATCTGTTTTAAGATATAAATCATGATATTCTTGTAAATGATTTATATTAAAATGGGTCCAGACATTTTTATCATGTTCGTATTCGTTGGAAGAGATATGTTCTTTAGTTAGAGTACTATAGAATGATTCAATCGGGGGTAGAGACTCTGCAAACTTATCTGGTCCCGTCATGAATTCATAGGGAAATACGCCTTTACGTTGTAGTAGTGGATTATCTATGAATCTAAATGTATTTAAATTGGAAGCAAATTTGTATAATGGAAGGGACAGAAAGTTATAGGAATCTAAAAATACTAAATCATCAACTGAGAATGAAATGTACTTTTCCATATCCTTGGCTATGCAATTTAATTTACGATTATGTTTTCCCAAGTGTTGCATTATTAAATGGCCATCGTATTTTTCAAGTTATGGAAGAATACTGGGATTTTCTTTGTTACTTTATTGTTTAAATTGCAATCATTGTGGGCAGCTCCACGGTATTGGCCATGACAATGATCACGTACCCTATCAAAATATAGAGGCTTTTCACAAATGTGACAATGTGTTGAGTTTTGGAAAGATGCCTCTTGCTCTAGAGTCATTACTAGGGGAATATATATCGACATTTGACTTTTAATGAAGTCATAAGACTCAAATAACCTTTTGAAAAACACATACATAACGTTTGCTCCACTAAATAACTCTTTAGAAATAATCTTAGAATCTCTCACTACAATGAATGCAAATCCAGCTGGAGTATGGCTGTTAGAGTTTATAAAGCATTCAAAATCAGCATAAATCACAAATGGGGCTTTAAGTTGATATTTATAGTTTTTAAATTGTAATGTATCTTGTTTAGACATGTCCACTCGTTGGGCATCAAAGTTTTTACAATACGTTATGTGACGTTCTAATATATCATTAGTGTAAAAATGTTGCAAACACAACTTGCAAAAATGCTTCTTATGGTCATATTTTGTAGAGTGAAACATTAACTTATTAAAGTCACGAATTAAACAGTAATGCGATTTACGATCTTCTTGTAATAATTATAAATCTATGTGAGTATTTCTATTTAGTTTGGTTGTTCTTAATGGATATATACATTTATCATCTTCAACCCCAAATACATTAACACTTATATTATTTTGTGTTTCAAATTTATCTATATCAGATATTTTCACGGGATACTTTATGTTTGACATATTCAGCTGACTTTCATGTGGTACATAATTGGAGACTCTATTAGCATTTTCATTAGAGCTCCTTGGATATAAAGCTGCTAATATCGACCAAAGGAAGCATTTTTATCAGCATTTTTTATATTTAAAACTGCATGTTTCGATTTAATACTGTCTTTTAAAATCTGTCTGGAGTGTCTTTTTTTTTAAATCTGTCTGGAGTGTCTTTTAAAATGTCCAACAACATTCATTTTACAGAAATTACAAGTCTTGTGATCTTGTAATATATGTGATTTTAAAGCCACGTTATTACCATAGATTAAATAACCTCATTTGATGAATTACCTTGTAGTGGCGAATCAGGTTACTTTTGGTGGAGAGCGACACGGAGCAGTGTTGACAGGTCGGCATTGCACTCGAGAATGAAATATCACCCGGATGCCACTTCTATATATAGACTTTTTCAAATTTTCTAAAAATTTTTAACAGAAATTATGAAATTTTTTTACTAGAAATTAAAAAGTTTCAAAAATTTTTACTAGAATTCAACGGGAGGTCACCCACCCAGGACTTAATCAAGAGCTACCACTAGAGACAAGAAGACCGACCATGGGTCAGGAGCGGGAGCCTGACCATAGGTTGTGAGCATGCCCGCGCCATGAGCCGGGAGCGCGCCCGAGTTCGCGTACAAACCTCGCTCGATTTTGAGAATATACATGTGAATGGATGTGGATTTGAAATAGTAATGGAGTTATACAATGGTATTGAACATTTATATAGGCTTGCATAGGCCGAGAGCTGGATTTTTAAAAAATTGGTCAAAAAAAGCTCACCATGTTATTCTTATGGGGAAAAACGCCCCAAGTGACGTTAAACTGGTAGTTTTCCACTACTTTACATTTACACTTGTAAGGGTCAATGAATATAAGAAATAGCTTTTTTAGCTTGATATCGAATATATTTATG